CTGTAGAAAAATCTGGTAATTTACTGACTAAGAAAAAGGATCCAAAGAAAAGCTCTGGCAGATAAAGTTCCACATGTAACAGAAATTCTGAGCACTGCTTCCTGGTCAAGCTTCTTGTAAATCTGAAAGCAGCACCTAAGGGAGTCTTTAACAGGACCTCCAGAAGCCACCACTACACGCACACCTGTTAGGGAGAGTTAGCATGTGTTTCCGGTTGCGCTACCTTTTCGATGTGATCCACGCGATCAATGAGCTTGTTGGTAACGGAGTGCAGCTTCAGTAGATCCATGCCATAGAAGGATCCCTCCAGCAGCTCAAGTATGGTGGACAGCTAAAACAACAACAACAATAAATGATCAAGTGAATTCCGTCAAAGTTAAAGAATTCAAAACATAGAATGCATGAAGTAGGCACATCCCCAGTCCATTCAAACTCTGGTTGTGGTAAGATATTGATTATCCTTTTCGGAAATTGATAAATATCAGACATCCATGCCACCAGGGGTCCAGGTCCATCTACAAATCAACAGTCAGATGTCGCTGGAGCATGAACACCTGTGGAGGCTCTGGCATGATAAATGTTCAGGAGGAAACTTCACCTTGACATTTTCGTTCCCAGCTTCCCTAAGCTTTTTTAGCCTGTACTCTCCCTCGCAGGGGTTGACCGCTGATGGCGGGGCGATGCAGGCGCACTTGCACTCCGGTCCAGAAGTGATGGTCTCCACGGTGTAGAAGTCCTGCGCAGAGGCGCTCCCTTCTTCTATCCGTCGACAGGCGCTCCTGCTCAGGGGTCTGACAACACATTTACACCGACAGTCAGAGCCTTCCGACAGGGCTTTCACTTTGTCATAATCACCCAGCAGCTATAAAGAGAAGAGGACGGATGTATTTTCCACCAGCAATCGGGAACTTTTCAATTTTTGCGCACAAAGTATAAAATGCAGGATATAAGGAAACATTAAATGAGCAATTTATCCTACCTTGGAGAGAATGTTCTGTCGGCCTTCTATCTCCTCTTGCAGTCTGTCATTTTGCTCTGCACTACTCTCAAGTTGGGACCTGGGATCTTCAGCCAGGGGCTTTGGCGCTCCAGATCCCCATGGAAAAAACGCGCAGCTTATCACGATGACAAAGCCTAACTTGTACATTATGTGAGGCTCACAGTGCGCAGATAAAAGAAATAACAAATAGCCCGTCACCGATAGATTCAGGTGCACGAAAAAGTCATAGCCTACCTCTGATTTTAGAAATCAGAGAGTGCGTGAAAAAAAATGACATCAAATATCCGGATTAGGCTTCATGGGTCATCTTTTTCAGAGTCACAATGAACGCAGACTGATGAGACTGAAGAAAGAGTGCACCCTGTGGGAGAGCAGCCGGCATCTGGTGCTGGAGCAACGCCGACAGGAGGCGGGCCTGATCAAACCGGCGAGGAGGAGTTGAACTGCTTCAAAAGACTTCAGAGACATGACGTGCAGCTTGTTAGTGTTAGTCGTGATTAAAACGCAACCTCCAAACTCGGATTTTATTTCAGGTTCAATTTAATTTGCAGTTCCAGATTAAAGAAGGTGTAGTTTGACTTCATATGCAAACTTTATGCTGCCACCAAGCCTTTTCACAGACGCCGGAGACAAGTTTCAGATGTGGATTTGCTGCCCTCTGGTGGCAACAGTGTTCATTACAGTCACAAAAGACATTTAAAATTCTTCAGCGTTTATTTTTTACTTTAAGGCACATATAATTTATGTACTTATCTTCATTCTTTATCCCGTAGTGTAAGCATACATGTACATATAGACAAAAAGGACTTTGTAAGTTCAGTTAAGGCATGTCGGCGCCATGCAAGTTTCCAAATCACA